GGGAGGAGACAGAAGTACCAAAGCTTTCCCAGTTTGGCAGCCTGAGCACAGATCTACTCATCTGGTGTTTACTTTGCTTGTAAAAAAGAGATTTTTTTACATCTTCTGAAAAAAACACACCCCATCATAAAAATACTTAGGTAGCTAGATTGGCAAAAGTGAGGCCTCCCATGAAATCCATTTAAATGAGTGGAAATATTTCCATTGACTTCCCTGGGGTCTGGATTAGCTCTTTAACACGTCTGTAATAATTATTTTTTAACACAGTCATTCTTGGCAAATTATTGCTGTTATTCACTGGGTTTTTTGCTTGACGTGGAGTTAGTGGCTGACATTGTGCTACTGCACTCAATACTGAGGCTAAAGCAGTCTGGTTTCTTTGGTGTGTGTAGAGTGTACTGTAATATTTGCTGTCATATGTCATGCCTTGCCTGCCATCAATCTGTATTATAAAACCAGAGTTCACAGAATGAGCTCAGGTTGGCTTTTCACTTACCTGGAGTCAATTACAAAGAAGCTGAAAATAGTTGGGGTTCTTGTTTCTGATCTCAACATATTTTGCTGTGAAAATGACCAAATGTGGGACCAGTTAAAGTTTCCCAGCTTTATGCTGATGTGTCATTTGCTTTAGAAGTTTCGGTACCCTGGGGTGTGAAACTAGGCTCACAAGCTTTTCTGTCCAACAATACTTTTCTAGTACTGGTTTCCACTGTATTGATCTGAGTTCTAGATGTCAACAATTACACTTTTTCATCTCTGCATTTGAATGTTTTCAGGTTTTGTATCTGAAGAGTACACGTTAGGACACGTCAAAACAAGTACCAAGTATTTGTTGACATTTTACCTCCAGCTTTCCCATATTTTTGGATCTGATACCTGGCTACTTCACACCTGAATGCATGTATCCATCCTGTTTTCTTTTAACCATCCCTGTTGCACAACTATGCCATGCTGCCTCCTCTTGCATCACCATAATGCCACAACAGAGTCGGTTTGGGGAGACAAAAGACTTCAGAGAGATGAGAGTCATATCTGCATCAGATAGATGAGAGCTGTCTGTGCAGCAGTCAGATTGTGGATAGATAGTTGAGGCCAGACTTTCAAAGGTGCTGAGTTTACTTGCATATTTGCAACAGAGGTGTGGTGAATTTACTGATAACCACTAACCTAAGATATGTTCTTGTTTTGGTTGGATCACCTTAATTATCCCTCACACTTTTTAGTGTCTTATTTTTGCATCAATCCGTTCTCCACCTCCATACCACAGCTCCCAGGCCCCATCATCTCAACCTTTCCTTTCCCAAAGGACTGTGCCAAAGGGAGTGTCTGATGATCCTCACCTACCATAGCTACAGTTAACTGCCACACTCACCATGCCCAAGAGTTATTTTGCACCAGCAGATTTTGAGCCATGTGTTAAATTAGGTCAAAATTTGTCTGCAGTGTTCGTGCCTCCAAAATGCAACACCACTTCTAGACATGAGGAAAGGCGCAAATTTACACATGTATCACCTGTGAGTGACTTTGGATTGTTTCTTTAGGAGAGGAAATCCACTGTTTTCCCAAGCTAAAGTACACATTCTGTTTCGTAGCAGTTATTTTTCAGGGGTGTTCTTCCATTTCATATTTTACAACCTTTGATTGCACATCCAGAGCTTTGGTTTCCTCTCCAAGCAGATGCCTTGCCAAAGCATTTGAATTGTGACAGTTTCTGAGCTGGAATTTCCAATGTTTGAAATTAGGAACTGGGCTCATACCAGTCACATTCATTAAAAGCCTTTGGGTAATAGTGATTTGCAAGAACTATGAACCTGGGATAAACATGAGTTTAAATTCTTTACTTAGAAGGGCTATTAAGAATACCCGGCAAATACTCATACTGCTTGATGACTTTTAGGGGAGCATTTAACACATAATGGCTGACAAAAAGCTGAAATTAAGTCCTTCAAGAATGACCAAAAGGTTCTCATTATGATATATTGTGTCAATGGGGATCATGGATTTTATAGATCTTTAGTGGAGAAACTACAGTTGTATTTGAAGAGCTGGAGCAATTCTCTTGACTGTTTGAGTGAACATTTAAAAAGCTGCTCTCCCTCTTCTTTTTCCTTCTAAAACACCTCCCTCTCCCCCCATTCAAACTCCTCAGGTAATTAATTGGAAACGACCCAGTTGCAGGGTTGTCAAAGGTCTGACTAACACCCATCAAACCCAGGAAACTCGGGCTTCTTGAGCGCTCCCCTGCTTACCTCGTGCTGTTGTGCTGAAGGTATTACTGGGGTCTACAAAAAACACATGATCCTATGTACTGTACCATATGTTCACAAATACCAGCACACAGCAGCATGAATTAAGGATAGGATTTCAGCCTTCATAATGAAGAGTCTTGCTTTTATGAGTACGAGTCAGACCCTTAACGTTATTTTAACATAGATTTTGGTGTTTAATTATGTAATAAGATTTACTGCAGTCATCTAACAGATGTTGATTCAGGGTCAGTGTTTCTCATAAATTAGTTCTGAAAGGATTTGTTACTTCTGGGTCAGCAGATAGGTCCAGAGTGCAAAGAAAAAGGGGAAAAACAATAAACAGAGTTGAAGGGTTTCTTGGGATTCTTTCTTCAGTTACATATCCACATATTTTCATGATTTTGATGACTATAGCCACAGGAATGTTTGCTTTAACACTAAAGATGGCTCAGGCCAAAACCCTATATCCAAACATCTGCAAAGCATGGGAAAGTTCAAACTTCAGGGCTTTCTATTTTATGACCCTGGCCGTTAATTTTTCATATTAATATGACACATTTTTCCTAGGGCTCTGCATTGGGAATCCCTGTGAACTCCAGCAGCACCTGAAAAGTTTCATCTTCATGTGTTTGTTGTCAGACTTTGTGTATCAAGTGCAGCTAAAGGCCGGTGTTGGCCGATGTACTTGTCATCACATACATACCCTGAAAAGGTGCACCCGGCTTCCTTTGAAAACTCAGCCTTCCCATGTCTTTGGAAGCAGATCACACTGGTGCATCCTACTGCTAGACCTCTCTGTAATACACCCTGCTGGTGATCTTATCTGCAATATAACTAAAACCACACGACATTATATTCATTCTTCTATAGTTGTGGTTAAAGGAACTATACCATATTAAAATACTTTCTCCTCCCCTGTACAATTTAGGTACAGACAAATTCCTTCGAGGCTGAAATTGTACTCTTTATATCTTACTCTGCTGAGACTGCTTTGGAGGAAAGGAACTGAGGCACATTCAGTAGTGTTTCTAGGACTTACAGGGCAGTTTTAGCTTACTAAGTGTTTTACAAATCGTGGTGAATATTCACAATATTCCTCTGCTTCAGGGTACGAGAGACTGAGTGATCTTCCCCAGGCTGTACAAGATGTTCTAGGTAGAAGTGCGGCAACAACTTTGTTCATTCAGTGCACGCTAAGACTGCTGAACCTATATAAAACCATTTGCTGAACTTAATTGCCTTTGCCTTGGAAAGTTTAGGGGTTTCATACCTAAAAAACTCCACTATGATGAATCCCAGCTATTAGAAAGAGCTCCGCAGTATTTCCCTGAACAGCAATCACACAGTGGCAAACTGTGAGTCCTGGACTCCTTGCAGAAGTAATGTGTGAGAGGAGGAAGAGCCTGTGGCCAGCTGCTGAGCCCCAGCCAGCAGAGCAGCGATGAACCTGCTCCGTGTGAGCACTTGGACAGAGCCTGGATCCTGGAGCTCCCCACGCTCCATCCCTGCCACAGGGGAGGCCCTCACGAGTGCTGATGTACGTTTGTGCTGTGCAGCGCTATAAATCTAAATAGCACTTTCCAGACTTAGGCTTGAAACTCTTTTTTCAGGAGTAATTCCATTTAAGTCAATGGATTTACACAATGGATTTACCGCTGCCAGAAGAGAATCAGGCCTGTAGAAAGACACATTCTTTGCCAAGAAAATCTCAGAGCTAACTACTTGAATTGTGCAGTTGAGCTGCAGGGAGGTCAAGTGGACAGATGACGGGACTGGGACATATGGGAAGTCCCTGGTTCAGACCTCAGCTCTTAACAAGTGAGGTTGTGTGACCTCTGGCGAGTCAGTTCATCTCCTTATACCTCTGTTTCCCCATCTTCCTTTGACTTGCCTATTTAATTTGGAATTTGTTCCAAGAAGGGTGCTTCACTTCATGTGCTGGGACAGGGCACTGACACCTCACCTCCCCCTTGCTGAAGGACAGTCAAGTCTTTCGTTCCTCACAACACTGACCCTCAACATCTACAAGCAGTGTTACATGCGGCTGTCAGCTGCCCGTCAGAAGACAGGCAGACCTGTCACTTGGTGGGATAACGCAACCATCCTAACACTGTCTTGGAGGCACTTTCTGTTATTCCGCAGTCAGGGTTGGGAGGTAAAAGAAGGTCCTTATCTGAACATCTGCTTCACAGCTCTGATCACAAGAGATGCTTTAGAATGAAAGCTTTGACCCTTCAGAGTGGGGCTGTGAGCTTGTGATGAATTCAGCTGACACCAAATGTGGGTCACTGGCATGAAAAGCATCAAGGGCTGGAATTTCTATATACAGTGTGTGGGTATGCATGTGCAATTTTCAGAAGCAGAGTCAGGCCAGGAACCAGCGCTCCTGAAAAGCCCCATCTGTTTTTTTCAGCTCCTTCCCACAGCAGTTTGGTCATTATCGGTGGCAAATGTCCAGAGTCACTTGTCAAGCATGAAGCTGCCAAAAATCATTAAAGCACAATGGTCACCCACACCCCGTACCAGCCAGCTGGAAAACTGTTTCAAAGAGAGTCTGATAAAAACGTATATGCTTATAATAGCCCAGAGAGAATCATGTATTTCCTACATGCTTTAATGAACCAAACAGCAGCATGAGATGCTGCAATCAGATATTCTTGCCCTTTCCTGTTGTGGCAACTCGCAAGCTTGTTTGATGGCGAGGGGAAAGGGAACAAAGCAGGTGGCTAATGGGCTGTTTTTCTGTTTCAGTGGAGCATGACAGAGAGTTTCACCATCAGCGCTGCCACTACCGAGAGTTCAGGTTTGATCTTTCCAGAATCCCAGAGGGGGAAGCGGTGACGGCTGCTGAGTTCAGGATATACAAGGATTACATCCGCGAACGCTTCGATAATGAAACGTTCCAGATTAGTGTCTACCAAGTACTCCAGGAGCACCAGGGAAGGTGAGTCACCCCAAGGGAAATCCCATTGAAAGCTCAAGCACAATATGTTCCTTCAGAGAGATGAGTCCAATACTCCTAGAAACACTGGTGCCATTAGCAAAAGTGTCTCAAGAGCTTGGTTCAGGCATCAGTGTTATACATTGAAATCTCAGTCAATGCTAACGCATAGCTGCCAAGCATGATCACCCACCGAGGGCATGGGGGTACCCAGAGAGCATCCCCAGCACTTCCCTGGAAGCACTCAGTAGCTGAGGAGCCAACAAGCCTGGCCATAAGCTAGTGCAGGAAAAGATCATAAACTCAGAGTGTTTCAAGGTTTCTGGAAGACCTACCCTCTTCCTCCTGCTGCTTATGGATTCCGAGGTGGTGAAACCACATCCGAATGCTTCCTTTCTAATTGTAGCTTAATTACTAGCCTTTATTACCAGCGGCATTCGAGATTCCTAATTAACAAAGACAGATGACACCATGCTTTTTATATTGACTGATTGTTTTGCATGTGCAAAACTACAAGATGAGCTATTAAATCCATTCCAAGCAATTATTAATGTATGCCAAGCTCCCTGACAGATCCTCCAGGGAACTTGAATAAGAACATATGTTCAATTTTCTCATCTGTTTTTAGTTCCAATTAATCAGCAATCCCCAACCATTTATCAAAGGCAGTTACTTTCATTTGCACATATTTCTTTTACATACAGATCCTACCAAAAGTGTGATCGTATTTATTTATATGAAAAGTATTTACAGTCACATGCTAGTCAGAAGTTATTCTTTACCACTGCTAAACATGGGGTAATAATACTACAGCTCTAATTTAGGTTTATGAAAAGAGAACCACTAGGGATTTAAAGTGAGAAAGTCCAAAAGGGTAAGAAAAAAACCAGTGTAATCATGACTCTGGCTTTATATTTTTATAAGACCTAATAAAAATGCAGAAAAAAATCTGAGATATGATGGGAAACCTTATCAACTTCTTTAAATGGTGAGCATTTTTACCGGCTTTGCTGTATGGTAAAAGTGTTCAACCACTGGTGTGTTTTCTCCAACATTCTAATTTTCTGGCTTAAAACTCAAGGTTTCCTTGGCCTTTCTAATTAAATGATTATTTTCAGGGTTTGGGGACTATGCTAATATTAATCTACTTTTAATCAAACAATGATAATTAAACTATCCATTTTAACCAGACTTTCTTAGAGGAGAAGACAAGCCACAGATGTGCACAGGACCCATTAGCTACCCTGCTTACTGTAAGCATTTAAGTTTATTCCGTCTTAGACTCTTCCAGAGATAGAAGCCTCCCTTTGCTGCATTTTGGGAGTTACTTAGGTACAAGTATGCAGGGATGACTTTTCACTCTTGAGAAGAGCAGAAACAAGAAATGTGTTGGCAGATGAAGAGACCCTAACCACAGTGTTGGGGCATTAGGGAATTGCCAGAAACCTGCTGTTGGAGTAAACGTTCTTCATCAGATGTCAGGGAAGTCCAGAACCTGATGAGCGAGGTAGGTGCCCGCTAACAATCTTATTGTCAGAATTAGGATGATATTTAGTGTGTTAATTTTACAATGATACAGCTACAGGTTTGTTATCACTATGTTTAGAGAGGCTGCAACATACCCACTGGAGACAGTTACGTGGGGAGCAGCAAATGTTTCTGCAAACTGTCTCCGTCACAAATTCTTATTTCTAAAGGAAAAAATGTATGCAAAGGGCTGGCATAAACACGAAACACTGGCTGGAAGAGGTGAGAAATCTTGCTAATTATACAGATGTTCCAGCTGCAAGATTAGATGCAATTTCACTGCATCATATTCACCACAGGAACACTTGTTTTTAACGAGTGTTCATGCATATTCACCCTTTGTATACATTTTTGGCACAGGCAGTGTAGAGTTTTGAAGAGTTTGTCCTGAAAAAAATACTCCTGTTGGTTTGGACTGACCAAAGGTAAAAATATTGTCACTAACATTTGTAAAAATATTTGCTCTTTTTCTGCATTTTTCCACTGACATTTTCCAACCGCCTCTGTCACAGACCAGTCATCCAAGGCAGTGTGTCATTGGGCAAGTGGAGAAAGAAAACAAACTCTCTCCAACGTTGATCAAAAAACACCCATTCACTTTGATGCTTCCTTGGCTGTTTGTCTCATCCTGAGCAGGCTGGAAAGTCAGACCCATCTGACGTTGTTAGCAACAAGAGCAAAACAAAGCCAAACCCTCTCCCCCACGCAGGCAAGAAAACCTTTGCTTGTGTTTGGCTTTGTAGATTCTTTTCCCTAAAGCATGGCAGGTACAATGGACAATAAAAACCCAAATGGCTTCCCTTTTCCCTGTGCTTTTGTGATGGTGCAAGAGCAGTGGGATCTCCCAGGAGACTGCTGGAATTGCCTTTCGGGATCTGGAACACCAGGTACTCTCCAGTCCTGAGCACCTCCTGCTTAAGTGCACCAGGGGACAGAAGCTTGGTGCCAGGCTCCCCCAAGGCAGCTGCAGCATCATCTGTCCTTTGTAACACACCAGCACACAGCAGAGATCAGGACAGCTTCTAGGGACACGAAACCAGCACAGGATGCAGCTGGAAAGCCCAAGCTGAGGCTCACTGGATCTGTTTTCCTTTGAAGGTGAAGAGAACATCTGATACACTGAAGGCTTGATTTTCAGTTAAACCTCAGATGAGCCTCCAGTTTGGAGGGTGTGATGGTGTGCCCTCAGTTCAAATAAACCATAAGTACGAGCAGTTCAACAGTTAACGACTTGCTTTACGAGTTCAGACAGGTTGGCAGGTATCTAACCAGCAACAGCTCTTGTCTGCAATTTATTGTCAGTGAAAAACACAGGCATCGGTTTTTCCAGGCAAACAGCTGCACCCACAGCACATTATTCCTGAAATCCTGCCCCTCGGTAGTACTGACATTTAAACACAGAGTGGAAGTTCTCCTCCATCTGCCTGCTGAGTTGTGGGCAGACAGACACCTAACAACCTTGCCCTGACCTTTGCAGCAGAAGGGATGCCGTTCTGGACTTTGACTGATAGGCATTATATCTCTGTCAGACTGACGATGTTATTACAGGTGTTTATTGGGAATCAGAATAAATAATCAAATATTCTTTCTGGCCTTTCCAAATGTATGAATTCATTGCAAGGCAAGCTTGTCAAACTGGCCAACATCTCCTTTATAAAAAGGCATGTATGGCATTCCTTAGGCACAAAGCATCTCAGATCTAAACTTTAAGCAAACAAGTACATTCATGAACAAAAATGTTCCTTATATCATAAACACTGTGCAAACAGTTGCTGTTTTGACTAATATAACATGTCTCAAAGCTTTCGTGTGCATAACAAAGTCCAGTGACTCATGTTCAACTTCTGTTTGGTCTTTATGGTCTCACCCAAAAGGCTGGGAGAAAGTTTTATAAAGCCAGTGAGCGGCTTGAGAAGGGTACGAAGTAGAAGAACATCAAGTCCCTGTTTGTGGTCACTAATCTTGCTAGTGAGAACTAAAGGTTGCCATCAGGGATCCGGATGCTGCTCAGGCCTCCAACTCCTCCATCCTGGATGATGCAGAAAAGCAAAGCAGATTTCAGTACTAGGGAGTGCACATCACAGGGCACAAGGCTTGCTACAAGGTGGTGAAGGTCATTTATCTCAGGCATCTATGTAGGGAATGTTAAAATAAGGCTTACAGATATGAGCCTGAGAAAAATGATAGAACTTTTACAGTGCAGTCATGGAATAGTTCGTGAACTAATTTGCAAAAGAAATCCCTGTTGCCTTCAGGCTCTCCCTATTGTTGTGAGCAATGGCCAAAGCAAGAATTTAAAGGGGATTTAAGTGCTGAAGAGGCATACGGGTATGCAGTGAGATTTCTAACAGCAGCCAGGTAGGTTGGATACCTAACTCCTATTGCAATGGATTGAACTTGTGTGTTTTCAAAAAGTTCCCATGGGGTTTTGGGGTAGATTATCAGTCAGGGCATCATCCTCAATGTATTAACCCGAAGCTGCAGAAAAGATGTAGGTTGTATAGCTCACTTCAACATAGAGCTTGATCCTGCCCATCTGTCTGCACCTTTAGAAGCTAAAATACCTTGGCCCAGAGTTACATCTCCGATTTCATTGGACCCAGCACTTGCACTGTGGAGTAAATCCCAACCCCTTTGAAGTTGATGGGAGTTCTGTTACTGGGAGAATAAAGCCAGGTACTTGACCAGCCCTTGGTAATTGAAATGTAGTTGCTACATGTTCACTTTATGGCCATTATGGATTTCACAGGCTTCAAAGGCAGTGGATAGTTTGAATGCTCATGTTACCAGCCCTACAGAAAAATAAGATCTTGCATGATGCATTCCTGGGTTTGACTTGCAGCTGGAACGCTTTAGTTTGTGCTTCAGACTACACCACTTCTGCACCCAGATCAAACCTGAGCCCTTTCCAGACCCCCTTTTACCATTGATTGGAGTCTGTTTCCATGTTGTGGGTTGAAACATGTAATTCTAGTAATGAAGGCTTAGGCCCACCCAGCCCGTGAAGCAGATGTGCCATTCTTTTGGAGCTTCTTTAAGTACCAGGGTGATCTTTCCAGGGATGGTGCTTCAGAGAAGGGCATAGTTTGTTTTAATGTTGCGGCCCAGCACCATGACAGTATGTGCAAGTACTGACACCATTGAGAAAGGTGCTGACAATGGCTTTGATTTTTATTTTTATGGTGACTTCTCTGCAAGTCAGTTGATGACTGTGCTCAGCTCTTAGCAAGTGGGGCACTTTAGTTCTTTACAAACAGAGCTGCATCTAGTTATCCCTTTCAGACCATTCCTAAAAGCCACTACAGCCTGCAAAACCTCTGACAAACTTGAACTCACTTAGCAAGGCACAACTCTTCACAGGCACTTGAGTAGCTGCAGGAGGCATTGCATACCCCAGTGGGCTCTTGCTCAGCTAAGTGATGCACTAATGAACAGTGATTCAATGCTGAATAGAAACAGCTGGATATAAAGTGTCA